TATTTATGAAGTGGGTATAAATTTACCTTCATTGTTGTAAAAGTCGGTAATATCGCCAAGTTTCATAGTGGAGACCGTGGTTTCGTTGAATACGCATGACCAGTTCTTCTTAGCGCTTTTGAACGAGTCCTCGAAACAGAAAGTTTGAATCGCGACGCCTATAAAGAAAACACTGCAAAGTAGTACTAAAGAACACTCTACTCAAGCAGAAATGCTGTTTCATCAATAGAGGTTTATGGCGAACAAACGTTGAAGATTTTCTGAACACAGCACATCATCTGCATGTGGGAAATTGCTGTGCTTTCGACCCGCTCCTCCCCAAAAGAAGAGTTTTAGTAGGCCCCTCCACCAACACATTCCGTCCTTTAGCCCAAACTTCGGCTGCGCTCATACTTTACGTCAGCGGTTTGAGCGTTTCGAGCGTACGCCGGTCTGACTATTTAGCGGACAGTTTTGAACTTTCTGCCGGTCGTCGCTGAAAACGCTGGTGTGAGCTCAAATCTTCATTGATAACTTTACTTTCCTAGAAGCTCAAAACGCTGCCGGGCTCCGAACGCTGACGCAAAGTATGAACGCACTCTTTCCCGAAATCTGAAGAGGAAAAAATCACCAATCAAAAAGATTTCTATAAAAGCGTAAAACAGTCCCCTTCTCTCAGTGACCAGATTCGGCACTATTCAACTATTACTACCCCAAAAAGTCAAAAAAATTTTTTGCTGAAACTTTGCCTATAGGGGTAATTCGGTGTCCTGATCACGAATATAGCACTCGTTTTCGGCGCTGGCGCTAAATCGGCGCCAGTTTGGCACCGCCATCTTTTTCACCAAATTTGGTGTAAATTTGCATAGAAGGGTTACTTGGTGTACTGAGCACGGATACCGCATTAGCATTATTTCACCCTGGCGCCATTAGGCGCTAATCTGGCGCCACATCTTTTTTTCATCAATATCGCTAGAAAGCTGCAAACAACGTGGCTTGGTGGCCTCATCACAAATATGATATTCATTTTTCGACACCAGTGCCATTTAGCGCTCCTCTAAGGCTGAGCCAGGAAGAAAGAGTGATTTCCTTCAGATCAGGCCCAGCCTTAACAGAGCGCAGATGATCACAGCGTCTTCCAACACCGCTCGCGTCAAAAATGAGCGCAGGCGCTCGAAGGTGGCCCCTAGGTTCAAATAAGCCGCTAACATAAGTGTAGGACCGGAAATTTTCGTAAAACCACAGTCCGTACTCCCGGCCCATCATAAGGCATTTCGAAGTGGCCTAATTTCGACATTGCATTCATCTGGACTCGGGAAGTTGATAAACGTCTATTACATAGATTAGGAAGATGAAGATTAACACATTGCGAACCGCCACG